TAATAAAGTTTATTACAGAATTTATGTGCTAATCCTAATTTGTTTATCAATATATGCATGTTATTGCTTTGGTGTTCCGCAATTTTTTCGGTAATTAAAAGTGTTCCGTCGCCACAAAAAGGTTGAGAACCACTGATCTAGATATTTAAAATGAATGTGCACACTTGATAGTTTTGTACGAATAACTACAAAAAAAAATATTAATTCTGCTGACCTTCACTGTTCCTTTTACTGCTTTGTTGAATAGTGTGGTTGACACGGAATTGTCTTGTCGAACTCCTATTTCTATTGCAATTGTGTTGGTGCTTCAGTCATAGTCATTTTTGTTAACCTAATTAGCTTTTCTACTATATCTTGATTTTTCATTTTATTAAAAAAATTATTTCTTCCAATATAGTCAAATGTAGGCTTGTCTGAAGTCTACATAGACAGTGTGGAGTTCTAGGTTGTTTGGTGGCTCAGGCATTGTGACCTAGCATTTTTTCAATTTTAAAACCTGATGATGGACTGTGTGGTCCGAAAACGTTTGTTTTATTGATGTAGCCCTTTTAAGGGTTTTTTAAATAAATATACCCATTTACGAAGACTAACCTCTTTTTTGTGATACATGGTATACAGCCAGCTACAGGAATTTTTTCCTTGTGGATTTTCTAGGTTGTGTTTATGGCATTTCTCGATTGATGCCGCCGCATCTGTAGCGGATCTTATTCTTCTTCTTACGGTGCCTATCCGTTCCGGATGTTGGCGATCAACATGGCTATCCTAACTTTGCTTGCTGCTATTCTGAATAGTTCAGTTGTCTATCACTCCTCTATCTATGGAGACTGCCTATGTCAATTGGTCATCCTCTTTAATATTGGCTGTTTGGTTGTAATATAAATTATAGATGATTCTCAAATCCCTATCATCTAACCCCACTTCTTTCAAAATGTTTGTAATCATGCTTTACTCTATCAAATGCCTTTTTGTAGTTGATAAAACAAATATACACATCACAGTTAACATCCCTGCATCTTTACATAAACACTTGGACAGCAAATAGAGCCCCTCGGGTGCCTAAGGAATCGCAGAATCCAAACTGCATCCATGATACTCGTTCTTCGCATTTTTTATATATTCTGCCGTGTATCACTTTCAAGAACGTTTTAAGTAAGTGGCTCATTAGGCTAATTGTTCTGTAGTCTTCGCATGTCTTGGCATTTACTTTTTTTGGTATGGTCACGAAGGTCGACTTTAACCAGTTTGGGATATTTTTTCCAGTTACATATATGTTGTTCAATACAGTTGTTATCCATTTTATTCCCTGTTCATCCATAAGTTTTAGGAATTCTGCACAAAACTCGTCAGGCCCTACCGCTTTACCATCTTTAGTTCTTTTAATAGCTGACGTAAATTCTTCAATGGTAATCGGGGGTCCTGTTTGGCATTAAGTGTCTTCAATGGTATTATGCCTTTCATCTGCAAAAGTTACTTCAACTAGTTTTTCTTCCATAGTTAACAGTGGTTTGCCTTGGTTATCTGCCAAACACCCAACTCTTCTAGGTTTGTATAAGCCTGCAGCTTCTTTAACTTTTTTGTGCATATTGAATGAATCGTGTTTATGTTGCAATTGCTGTATTTCCGCACACTGTTTTCTTAGATGTGTATCCTTAGCTATTCTAATAGGTTTTTTGATCTTTTTATTGATTTTTTTGTATAATGACATGTCTTGATCTTTGAACTTTCGCCTCTCTTCCATCATATCTAGAATCTCATTTATCATCCACAATTTCTTCTTTATTTATGGTGGTTTGAGAAATTGCTCTCGTATGTCTTTTGAAACTGTATGTAACTTTTCTAGCTCCTGGTCCATTACATCCGATTGAATAACGATATTCAAATTGTTCTGTATATACCGCTTTACACTATGTTCTGTGTGTTGGTCTAGCGGATCTACCTTCCCTGAATCCTTGTTAGTGGTCACCAATATTTTCCCTATGAATTGAGCGAGTTTTTGTCTGATGAGGGCTGGAAGAATTTTGTATGTTGTACTCAGTAGAGATATTCTTCTATAGTTATTACAGTCTGTTGCTTTTCCTTTTTTAAACATTGGTATAATTCCAATCCACAGGCATTTCTTCTGCTTCCCTTATTCTAACTATGTATTAGGTTTTAGATGCTTGTAATAATTTTTCTCCTCAGTTTTAATCAGCTCGTTGAAAATTTCATCTGGGCCAGAAGAAAATCAGGACGAATGCACAAGAAGCTTGAAGTCAAGGTCAATCAGTAAAAAAGTGGTTACGAAAGGTAAGGTTGAAACAAAACAGCAGGTATGTAAAAACAACCAGCAAATGTCAGGGAACATCCAAATGATGATAAATATAGTAACGAAGAAGCACATGGAGGAACTAGCATGGATGTCTAAAACTGGGATGTATGGTAAGCCTAAATATGTGGAGTACTTATGAAGCAGGTATCCTAAAACATATAGTGTCAGTAATGAAACAGTACACATTTGATATCCTGGTAATACAGAAAACAAAGCAAAAGTGAACAAATCTTACAATGAAAAAAAGAAATGAAAATGGAAAGATTTTAATAAGTTTTTGTTCAAAAGAATGGTATGACAATTATAAGTACCTACTTCTACCACAAAACAATTCACAAATAAACATGGAAGATGCTGGATGGCCAAACAAGCAATAAAATTGATCATATTCTGGTAAAGAGAAAACATATATCACTTATAATGGATGTTAGAAGTTATCAAGGGTTATCTGTTGAAGTGATTGATCAAGTGATTCAGATCACCTATTAATGATTTTAAAATTAAAATCGTACAGAAATTAAGGAAATGTATGAGAAACCTGAAACAAGCCAGATTATTAGAACAAAAATACAGTTAGGACATGTGGTGAGAATACCGGATAGAAGATGAGTAAGACTCCCTACAGCTGATTTTCTGTATCATAATAGTGAAAATTATATGACAGTTAACAAATTCATTATTAGAATAAGTGGATTCCTCAGTAAAATAGTAATAATATCTACATCCACATATAGTAGAGATAACCACATCTCCGATCAGCTATATCTTAAAAAACAGTATACAGAGGTTACTGATCATGCTATTACTATATGTAAATACTATAACAGTAAAGTTATAGTAGCTAGGCAAAGATAGTAATAAAACCTAATGAAATAATACAAGTAACTAAAAAATAGTAACAAAAATAAAATTTTTTGGTACATAAATTGTTTCTGCACAAAAATAGTTAACATAAAATTATTATTGCTCTAAGAAAATACAGTGGTGCAAGACACAATCATAATAATTTGGATAATGATTTTTTAAGGTTTGGTGTACAAAAATCCTTCCTGAACGACTGATTGCTAAAACAAATCCTAGTGCAATAACTTGGCAGTCTGTATCATTGATAACTGGTTTTAAAGTAGCCCTTTTAAGATAGTTAATATCATCTGAAGTATATATTCCTTAGACCAATAAACAAGTTTCATATTCTCCAATTTTTGTCCTTGAGTTTTTTGCCTACCAATGTTACCTTCACTGAACAACTTCTATTAATAGTAATCAATGGAATGTGGTACACAAACTCTACCTACATGTATACATTACTTCTTCTTCTCATATACTTTTGCCTTTTCAGGTGTCAGATATGAATATTTACAAAATTTACAAATACTTAGAAAAACCACAAACACAAAAAAAGTTTTAGTAGTTTAAACTCCAAAATGTATCCAAAATCTAGTATAATATATACACATTTTTTATAAATATATGTACACACATATACATTCTCCAAACTTCTGCATGACACTGTACCAACAACGAAATTCGTGAAAATTATGAAAACACTTATAAAAAATTAATGCATCTGCAAATATTAATTAATAATATTGTAACTAAAACATGTAGATATATTGTGGATATCATTAACATTATTTGGATGATAATTGGGCTAATCATCTTTAGCCAATACAAAACTCAGTGTTTAAATTAAACACAACAGTGGAAAAAGCTCCCTAAACTACAAAATTTAAGTATAGCATACCTTTATAGTTTTTTAAACTGAAACTAATTTACTACATTATATACAAGATAAAAATACTGGGTGTACAATTTAACAAAAGTATGAAATTAGCATTTGAATGACTACTTGAATAAATGGCTCATTATGGATCCCCTACAAGATGGATCGACCAAATTAAAGGAATATACAAAAGACCTATGCACCAGTTAAACGAAATGACCAGAGAGATTTTTGGAGATGGAAATGCAAGACATCACACTGACCACTACACTCAATCTGGGAGGATCAGGACTGAACAGAGAGAGTTCTTAATATTTTGTTGGATGCAATAAGTTCACTTTACTTTTGACTTGCAATCTAATATTCGCTGATATCAAATATAGGTCGTGTAACTCATATTAGGAAATATAGTCTGTCATAATTACTTAATTTGTTGAAATTTGCACAACACAGTCTGAGTTAAATGTTCAAATCTTACAAAAAACTTAAAAATGTCCTCAGTACTATTTAATAATTCCTAAAAAAGATGCAAAAGGCCAGTGACTCTTAGGGAAATAGCCTTTAAAGAGCGAAACAAAGTAAGAAAATTTATTCCCAAAGGATAAGAAAAGACTTTTACGAACAGAATTGATCAGTAAACCATCTATTCTACCATTATTCTCATTTATTCCTATCTATTACCCAAAAACTGTTATTTTTTTTCAACTTTTTCCTTAAAAGTTTCAAATTTTTATGATATAAAAATATTACTTATTACAATTTTATCCAGGAATATGTATTTTTTATGACTCACTACAACTAAAAAATTAATGAAATAACTAACAACCACAACCAGTGTTAAGTTGTTGGCTGAAATACCCATGAATTATTTCAAAAACTTTCACAATGTTTTTTTTCTGGGAAGGCCAATGACACATACTTTTATGAATGACCCAAAATAAAATAAGTTATTAGAGAAATAAAAAGCACCTCATTCTATTCTTGAAAACCCTTCTCCTTCGGTCATCTGTGTAGTCTTCAGTATCACTGCTTGTATCATTGTTGGGATATAGGTGACGATCACTTGCTCCAGCCATTTTTACTTTTGGCAGTAAACACTTCACAAATATATATAAATAATCAGAACAAATATCTCTGGAATCGATCCAGAACATAAAGAGCCTTTCTACATTAGAGAAATGGACAAAATGTGTGTTAAAATTACTTTTCTTGACCTCTCCAATGACCTGTCAATAAACTCCCTGACACAGACACTGACACTACTGACAGTTGAATACATTTGACACACACACTATCTAAAAATGAATTGGCAACATTTATTTCCTAAACCTTTACATAAACGGGGTACCCTAATTTCTCAGAGAAATTAAAATGTAATGAAAAAACAGGTGTAAGATAAGTTCACTATTTGTGTGAACTATTTTTTCTACAATAAATTTACAATGTTTTATCCTCACAGTTTTTATAAATCTTGCAAAAAGTATTCTTTTATTAGGCAGGACATGAAAAAAACCAAACGTGCAACTAGTTTTCTTACTAAAAAACGGGTAGACAAAAAACTTAGATGTTAGACGAAATAAATAAAAATACTGAAAAAATCTATGCTCAGAATTGGAAAACAAGCAGTATGGGATGGCGGCGAGTTAAACGTATCTTTAAATATAACATGTAAATTTTAAAAGAACATAAAAGGAATATTGTTTTTATATGTTTTCGAGTATTTCCTGTAACATCAAAAGAAACTTATTCTTTATTACCAAAAAACTAAATAAATTGTATTGTAATATGATCGATGTTTTATTTCAGTTCTTAAAAATGCTATTAATTTCGTTATATGGAATTTTTTATTGTAAAAAACGTGGTGTACTAACAATAATTTTTGTTTTTCTCATGAATAACTTATTATCTGGTAAGTGGGTATGTACTTTTCGGCACATGGAACTTTTTTATACTAAGTTATTTTAGATATAACACTCGTTTTTATTTACAAATTATGTTTAATTAAATGAAATTAGTAATAGCGTTTGTTTTTATATACGACTATCAGTTAATAGCCCTCAGCGTCCGCCTATGAAACTTGGAAACGTTGCTAACTTCACGCTATTTTAAAAACAAATTTAATTTTACAAAAAATCACTACTTTTTTAATATATATTGTGTCAATTTATTCTAGTTACCATAAACCATACTTATCTTATTCTTAATAATATATTTATATAATTTCCTTAGATATTTGAATATTGATTTTCGTATTATCAGAACAACCAACATAATTTCGGAACTGTTTAGAACTCCCTATAAAGAAATACCATATTTTTGGCATTTTTTCAAAATCTATCGTAAGAATATTGTTCAAACTTAGAGAAATAGGATACTTTCTGTTTTTAACATCTTAAAATTCTATTTTTATTAACAAACTTTAGGTCGTTAAGCAAAACGAACTTAAAGTTTTTGTTCTAGAATAGGTTCATTAGGGTAAAGAGTGGGGGAACCGAAGCTATATAACGGTGGAAGTTTGGCATTTTTAGAACAAAATTGATTTAAGTTTTAAAGAAAGATAATATACGAGAGTGATTAATTAAAGTGTACTGTGAAATATAGCGGAATAGGTAAGATTTCAATTTCATATCAACAATTGTATTTTGGTAAATTTCAACATCAATATTATGGGAAATATTTGATATTTTCTGATCAAACAATAATATTTGGATCATCTTCGCATTATTTGTAGTTTTTGTTAATCCATCCATCAAGACAAGATTATAAAGTAAAATCAATATTTTTTAAATTATTTCGTTGATATTTTGACAAAAAATTGGAATGTTCGATGACATTATCAAATTGGGCGTAGCTTACTGTAATTATGAATTATATTATTTAGGGTGCTTCAAATAATGACAAAGCTTTAATAAGATCGTTTCTACTGATTTTATAAGCGATTTATACTAAAGTTATGTTGAATTTATGTTTAAATGTAAAAAGTATAAAATTTACGACGCCATTTTGTTTAGTCAGCTGTTATTGATTGACCTCTGATTATGTGACGCAGCGTCTTTGTTCTGTATTTTTAGTTTTTGTATATTATCACGCAATTAAGTACATGATGTTCAGGTGATTCGGAATATCAGTATGTATTTTCCATATAGCGAAATTAGTGAGTCATCTCTCATAATTTTAACATGATATTTCATCAGATTCCTGAAACTGTAGTTTGTGTTTAGATCTTTTCTTACATATTTAAAATCAATTTGTTCATCATACTGTTTTTTGTGGTTTCGTGTTCTTCGTTTTGTGGACAATTTTGTTGTCTTGCTCTTTGTTCCATTAATTTCTCATGTTTACCTTGCTTTACCTTACTTTTGTGGGGTCAATCTGTTATGTAGAATTTTGTTTTTTACTTTTCCTTGTTAATGGATTCCAACACTGTAGGTTACTGTTTATTGACGTATTATTTGTAGTTTAGGGTTTACCGACCTTATTCCCTTGGTCTTTGTTCCATTAATTTCTCTATTTTTCCTTATCTTAGCTTATTTATTTGCACCATACTTCTGCAAGTCATTCTGTTCTATAAAATGATTTCAATATTGTTGTTCTCAGAATTTTGATTCCACCTTTTCCTTATTTCAATTAATTCCCACACTAGTTTACTGTTTAGTGACCTTGTTCTCTTGTTTTGTTATTTGTTCCATCTATGATTACCTGACTGTATCTTACTTTTGATTTATCCTGTTAAATAGAGTTTTGTTTCATACTTTTCCATATTTCAATTGATTCCAATATTGTTTTTAGTATACTAACTTTAGTGGATGATCATCATAATATATTTTCATCTTTACCTTGTAGTTAGTTGTAGGTTTGTTAGTTAACATTGTAGAATTGTTAATAATTTGTCACTCAAGGTGTGTTTTCTGCATTTTATTGAAATGCAAGTAAAGTAAAAATTTTAAATAACGCTCTAGAAAATAGTGTTCCACACAAACATCTCTAACACATTTAGTCTCAATCAAGATAGCCTCAAATGAGTTTGACAGAATGGAAAGATTGTGTTTGACAGTGTAGAAATTTACATTAAAAATGAAACATGCAATCATAAGCAATAAGAATGAAAATTAATTGTTTAGAATGACCAATAAAAAAAAAGTAAATAGTTTTCAAACAGTTTTTAAAAAGTATATAGTAAAATTTCAGTATATATAATAAAGTTAAGAAATCTGTTCCAATCTAGCAGCTGGTGGCTTGAGGGTTCTGACTCTATTATCAAATCTATCCCCTAACCTATCAAAGGGCAATTGCCAAAAGAATTTCTATTTTTTTATTTCACTTAATATCGAAAGAAACGAATATTTCATTTGTGCTTTATATACAATATAAAATTACAGAATTCATAAAATAATGTAATAAAAATGTAATTTTTAAAAGCTTTTTCTCTTTGTAATTAAAACACATTATAAGGACATAGTAACACTACTAACACCAATATTTTGTGTTGTTTGAGTAAGACTTTCATAAATATAAACATTTATGTATCACTGTTTAGTATTAAGCCAAATGAGTTATTAAGACTAACTATATAATTTTTTGTTACAGAATGCAGATCTTCGTGAAAACTTTGACTGGTAAAACCATCACCTTGGAAGTGGAACCTTCCGACACCATTGAAAATGTGAAAGCCAAGATCCAAGACAAAGAAGGTATCCCACCAGATCAACAGAGGTTGATCTTTGCTGGTAAACAACTTGAAGATGGTAGAACTCTCTCTGACTACAACATCCAGAAGGAGTCCACCCTTCATTTGGTCCTTAGATTGAGAGGAGGCATGCAGATCTTCGTCAAAACCTTGACAGGCAAGACCATCACTTTGGAAGTTGAGCCATCTGATACTATTGAAAATGTTAAAACTAAGATCCAAGATAAAGAGGGTATCCCACCAGATCAGCAAAGATTGATCTTTGCAGGTAAACAATTGGAAGATGGAAGAACCTTGTCTGACTATAACATTCAGAAGGAATCCACCCTTCATTTGGTACTTAGATTGAGAGGAGGTATGCAGATCTTCGTCAAGACACTAACTGGAAAGACCATCACCCTCGAAGTGGAACCATCTGATACTATCGAGAATGTGAAAGCTAAGATCCAAGATAAAGAAGGTATCCCACCAGACCAGCAAAGATTGATCTTTGCAGGAAAACAGCTAGAAGATGGTAGAACTTTGTCTGATTATAACATCCAGAAGGAATCCACTCTTCATTTGGTACTTAGATTGAGAGGAGGTATGCAGATCTTCGTCAAGACACTAACTGGAAAGACCATCACCCTCGAAGTGGAACCATCTGATACTATCGAGAATGTGAAAGCTAAGATCCAAGATAAAGAAGGTATCCCACCAGACCAGCAAAGATTGATCTTTGCAGGAAAACAGCTAGAAGATGGTAGAACTTTGTCTGATTATAACATCCAGAAGGAATCCACTCTTCATTTGGTACTTAGATTGAGAGGAGGTATGCAGATCTTCGTCAAGACATTAACTGGAAAGACCATCACTTTGGAAGTTGAACCTTCTGATACCATTGAGAACGTGAAAGCTAAGATCCAAGATAAAGAAGGTATCCCACCAGACCAGCAAAGATTGATATTTGCAGGAAAACAGCTAGAAGATGGTAGAACTTTGTCTGATTATAACATCCAGAAAGAGTCCACTCTTCACTTGGTACTTAGATTAAGAGGAGGTATGCAGATTTTCGTCAAGACATTAACTGGAAAGACCATCACTCTGGAAGTTGAACCTTCTGATACCATTGAGAACGTGAAAGCTAAGATCCAAGATAAAGAAGGTATCCCACCAGACCAGCAAAGATTGATATTTGCAGGAAAACAGCTAGAAGATGGTAGAACTTTGTCTGATTATAACATCCAGAAAGAGTCCACTCTTCACTTGGTACTTAGATTAAGAGGAGGTATGCAGATTTTCGTCAAGACATTAACTGGAAAGACCATCACTCTGGAAGTTGAACCTTCTGATACCATTGAGAATGTGAAAGCTAAGATCCAAGATAAAGAAGGTATCCCACCAGACCAGCAAAGATTGATCTTTGCAGGAAAACAGCTAGAAGATGGTAGAACTTTGTCTGATTATAACATCCAGAAGGAATCCACTCTTCATTTGGTACTTAGATTGAGAGGAGGTATGCAGATCTTCGTCAAGACATTAACTGGAAAGACCATCACTTTGGAAGTTGAACCTTCTGATACCATTGAGAACGTGAAAGCTAAGATCCAAGATAAAGAAGGTATCCCACCAGACCAGCAAAGATTGATCTTTGCAGGAAAACAGCTAGAAGATGGTAGAACTTTGTCTGATTATAACATCCAGAAGGAATCCACCCTTCATTTGGTACTTAGATTGAGAGGAGGTATGCAAATCTTCGTCAAGACATTAACTGGAAAGACTATCACTCTGGAAGTTGAACCTTCTGATACCATTGAGAATGTGAAAGCTAAGATCCAAGATAAAGAAGGTATCCCACCAGACCAGCAAAGATTGATCTTTGCAGGAAAACAGCTAGAAGATGGTAGAACTTTGTCTGATTATAACATCCAGAAGGAATCCACTCTTCATTTGGTACTTAGATTGAGAGGAGGTATGCAGATCTTCGTCAAGACATTAACTGGAAAGACCATCACTTTGGAAGTTGAACCTTCTGATACCATTGAGAACGTGAAAGCTAAGATCCAAGATAAAGAAGGTATCCCACCAGACCAGCAAAGATTGATCTTTGCAGGAAAACAGCTAGAAGATGGTAGAACTTTGTCTGATTATAACATCCAGAAGGAATCCACCCTTCATTTGGTACTTAGATTGAGAGGAGGTATGCAAATCTTCGTCAAGACATTAACTGGAAAGACTATCACTCTGGAAGTTGAACCTTCTGATACCATTGAGAATGTGAAAGCTAAGATCCAAGATAAAGAAGGTATCCCACCAGACCAGCAAAGATTGATCTTTGCAGGAAAACAGCTAGAAGATGGTAGAACTTTGTCTGACTATAACATCCAGAAAGAGTCCACTCTTCACTTGGTACTTCGATTGAGAGGAGGTATGCAGATTTTCGTCAAGACACTAACTGGAAAGACCATCACTTTGGAAGTTGAACCTTCTGACACTATTGAGAATGTGAAAGCTAAGATCCAAGATAAAGAGGGTATCCCACCAGATCAGCAAAGATTGATCTTTGCAGGTAAACAATTGGAAGATGGTAGAACTTTGTCTGACTATAACATCCAGAAAGAGTCCACCCTTCATTTGGTACTAAGACTGAGAGGAGGTATGCAAATTTTTGTCAAAACACTGACTGGTAAAACTATCACCTTAGAAGTTGAACCATCAGACACTATTGAGAATGTAAAAGCAAAGATCCAAGACAAAGAAGGTATCCCCCCAGATCAACAACGTTTAATATTTGCTGGTAAACAATTGGAAGATGGAAGAACCTTGTCAGATTATAACATCCAAAAGGAATCAACTCTTCATTTGGTACTACGATTAAGAGGAGGCATTTAAAATCATAAACTTTTTGTTTATTTCTGACAAGTGGTTTTTGAAAGGCTGATTTTTTATTTACACATTGCTTTAATATTGTCAAACCAAAGGAATAAATAAAATCTTTGCAGTATTTTTGGTTTTTATTATATTACTAACATTAAATAATGAATAATTTAACAATAAATATATGAAGTATTTTAAAATTTTCTTTGAATCTACAAAATTGGGATGAAACAACAATTTTGGAACAAGAACTTCTCTATATTATCTAATTAAGATAGTTTGCATATTATGTATATTTCATTGTTTTATTCTAAGGCTTTTTTATTAGTATATAAATTATATTTCTATCCTCTTTATCAGCCTCTTCTGGTCTACTCGACATGGCCTCTCCTTGGTTTTTCTTTAATGTTGTTTGTCTCTTGGTCTTCTAATGCCTCATTTATTTAGTCTTTTTGTCCTCTGCTTCCATTTCTGCTTTCAGATAACATTAGTTTTTCTTCTTAAATCTTTGTTTCTTAATATGAGCTCTTCATTCATGTTTACCTGGATTCTCTCAATAACTGCTACTTTGTATATTTAGAGATTGGTTGGTAAATGCCATAGTCTCCATTCCATGACAATTATGATTTTTATGTCTTTTACAATAAAACATGGTTTACCTACTTATTCTTATTGTAGTTTCTACAGTTTGGTCTTGTTTCCCTTGCTTTATTTCTCAAGTGCATAATTTCTGTTTTCAAACTTATCAGGAATTCAGCTTAACATTAACTTAGTTTTCTTAATATGCATCCTACTCTTTCTGATACTTGCTTTATAAACAGCTTCAGGAAAACAAAATGCTCAAATAACAATAGAAGACAAGTTTCTTCATAAATAAAAGTCCAAATTAAAATAAACTGTCTGGAGCTATGGTGAAGGTAGTAAATTGTTACAATTATTACTTTATATGCACTCACTGAAGTAAAGGAACAGTTTTGTGAGGAACTAGAATGTTCATAAGTGATGAGCAAATTGCATTGGGTGATTATAATGCAAAAGGAGTAAAGAAGAAATTTTTAAGCTGTCTATAGGTAATTTTAGCGCGTGGAATATTCAAGGAAGGAGCCACTTATCCAATTCGTGATTGAAAGAAGGCTTAATTAAGATAGGGAGTACGATAAGTTTAATCACAAAAAATGTTTGTAACATTCTGGCAAAACAAAACTAAATACATCATATAATGGCGGAGAGCGTAAACAATGAGCTATTGATTATGTATTTTGGAAAGGAACTATAACCAAAGAATATAGACGCTTCTATATTCTTTGCTACAACTTTTAAGTGGTTTTATTGTTAAATATGGTCAATTGGCTCCCAAATATGAAAAGACCGCGGAGTTCTACCATCTTAAAGGAGTGAATTAGTCCCTATGCATTAGGGTACATTTAGGTGAAATTGTATTTTTCGTACATATACATCTACCTACAGAACAGTTCAGAATTAAATTTCCTATCGAAATGTCACCTTTTAAAGTCATAAATATTTTTTTTTGAAAAAATATATTCAAAAATCGGAGCAAAAACACGAAAGAACGCGATTTTTCTTTCTTGTCACATAACATTTTTCTAGGTGTGTTCGTAGTTCTCTGGTATAGGAGTGAACTGAGTCATAGATAAGAGGGTTAGGAACTGAGTGAAGTATTTCTTCACAGAAAAAAAGTTTCTATATACAGGTATACAGTATATGGACATGGCAACACTGCCAACGCAATATTTTGTTCTATGAAACTTAATTGACAGCTAACTTGCCAACTTGAGGCTATCTTCACTGTGACCAAATGTGAAAAATGTCACGTCTTTCGACCAAATGTAAAAAAGTCCGGCAAATCAAGTTCCAAAGGAAGGTTTATTGTGAATGAACATAAATGTCGAATTATAAATCGCAAAAATGGATCTAAAGGTTAAAACTGAACATGAAGAAGTTGATCTTCCTGATCTGGTAGATCCCCAATTGTTATCTGAAGAATATGGTACTGTAAAACATGAGAAATACACCTGTTCGGAATGCCTAGAAGATTTTAATTGTGAATTCCTTCTTAACATTCATAAAATGACCCATGACAAAACTCAATACTGTTTTATTTGTAAAAGAAAAGTTCACAAGCGTTTTAAAGAGCATGTTATGGACAAGCACTTCAATCAATGCAATGTTTGTTTCCAAAATTTTAATTACAAAAGAAGCTTAGTTCGTCATATGGAGATTCATACTGGAAATTTAAATTATATCAAATGTGATAAGTGTGATAAAAGGTTTAGGCAAAGAGGCAGTTTGTATTCACATGTGCGATCCCACCATGAAGGAATTAAACCATATGCATGCAAGGTAGGTTTATACCTCATTTAACAATAATTTACACAAATATGGACTTCATTTGTTTACTTGCTAATAATATTTGTCTATTACTTTACCTACAAATAAGCAAAACATGAACAGAAAATATCACTTATTAACTGAGGAAGCTATTATTATATATACAAGTTATTACAATGTAAATGAAGATATATCTCCATGAATTTATATATTTATTTCAGCATCAGGGGGGGGGACAAGCATCCGCTAATGCTTTGAGGTTGCGTGCCCATTGCATTTGTGCTCTTCCTTGTCCTTTACTATTTTCATAAGGTTTCCACTGTGCTATTAGACTTTTCTACTTTTCATCTTCAGGAAACTATAATTTTGTGTTGGTCTGAAGCCTTCAGCGTTTTTACAAAAAAAGTTATTTAGAAAAAAATCTAAAAATTGTCCTGATTCACCCCAATTGATGGTAGTTCATTATTTAGTTCTATAGGTACCGAGCATTTTAGTCATAAAAAATTAGTATGTATGCGTATAAACAGGTGAGACTAAGGAATGAACAATGATATATCACTCTCTATATTATATATGATTACATACTTTAACAATTTCTGTTATTACTTGATACAAATGATTTAATTACCAAAAATGTGGATAATTCATATCCATTCACCGAATGGATAGGAGTTAAGTGACTACTTCTTATTGCTCAGCATGTCAGTATGTTTTTGCATGCATGAAGTTGCCACCAGTTTAGACTGGTTTCACACATCTCCACACATCTGCAAAAATCAGATTCCGTACCGTTTTTTAAAGTTTTCCAACCAACCTTGATTTGCATGAAAATCAGTTTTCTTCGTTAATTCCTAATAAAAAAACTGAGCTTTATTTTTTAAAATGTCTGAAATAGGAGCCTGTCTGCTTTGATGTTAGTTAAACTAGATGTGCAGAGTTTCTTCAACATCAGGAAATTCACTTTTTATAAGGGTTTTTCTGTCCTTAGAATCATTCTCTACAGATTTCATAGATTTTTCGATTTTGTCTGTGTTTTTAATAATGTGGTACACTATAGCTTGTCCAATATCTAGAATCTAAATATCGCAGTCGAAGTTTCACCACACTCTCAGCTCTTAATAATATCCCATTTATGTTTTAGAGTCAGCGTTTTGTGCTTTCGTTTTGAACTTGTCCTCTCCATTGAACTAAACTTTCTAAACAAATTGAATAAAAGTTTGGCTTTACATATTACTGTATATAAAAACCCTATCGAACCAGACTGCTCAGAGAAAACACACGAAATGAAGCATCTGGTAAGAATGAGATTCATGTCGTGACAGGTTTCATTACAAGCATGGCTTCGACCTAGACAAGAGGTCAAGGTTGGACTACCGATCGTGTCGGATTGCAAAACGTCTGAGTATTAAGGGTGAACTGCATTTGTGAAATATAGGGTGAGTGAATAAGGTCAAAGGTTATTCCACGAATATAAGACTGTTTTGGATTATTGCGACAACAAATATTATTTTACTGTGCAAGTAGAAGTATGAAAGTAAATTGGTCTAATCATTATTCCAATAAAAAAGATCTACTGTTAGTATGACATCTTAACTAAAATTATTTCAGTTAATAGATGTTCAGATAGATGCAAAATTTATTGTGAAATTTAATCCGAAAATAACAAAAATTTTTACGCAAACGCTCCTACAAATAAATACAATGACTTCTATGAAGCCAAATGTGTTCATCAGACATTTGGGTTGGGTTTCAGTGAAATGTAAACACCAAAGAGGCGTGCCGGGTTTCTTTGCTATTAGACTATTTTATTACTTTATTAGGTACTACAACTGTAATAAAAAGAAATATACTATTTTTAAAATAAATGAAAGAAATTGGTAGAACGATGGTTCAGAAACCAGAAAAAGAATCTAATATTTCACTTTGTTAGATTTAAATATTTCTTTACTTTGAGTGGATGTACTCTTAAAAGTTCCGAAAGTAACAGGTATAACATACCGGCTATTGATAGTTAAATCAGAAGACTTTGTGTGAAAGAGCTAGTGTCTTTCACAAAAGAATAGAATTTTTAAGAAATTATATATAAATTTAAAAAAGAATGTTCTTCCTTCGTTTATTTGGACAAAATATGGATTTTTGTTTAAGGCGATATCAAACGAATTTAAAAGGACGAGAGTATAAAATCCATAAAACACATCGATAACGAGGAAAAGAGATATATTATAGTGCATGTAGGTAGAAAACATGGTTTTATTGAGGGAGCAGATCTTGTCATCATCATCAATGGTGCTACAGCCCTATGAAAGAGCCTCGACCTTCCCAAGTCTATTATGCCAGGCAGTTCTATCCATTGCCAACCGTTGCTAGTTTGCTGCGCCTATCTTTCTACCGTCCTCATCTACACCATCCTTCTATCTGAGTTTTGGCCTACCCCTTTTTCTACTTCCCACGGAAGCAGATCTTGTATTTTCATCAAAGTCAGCCGATTATTATGACAATATGAATACGGAGCTGTTTGTGAAATATTTGAAAGAAAAACTGTTGCCAAATTTGAACATTCCGTTATAGTACTGGATAATGCTGCATACCATTCGGAAATTTTAAATAAGCAACCAACAAACACCTGGACCGTAGATAAAATAAAAGAATGGCTAACGCATATATATATATATATATATATATATATATATATATATATATATATATATATATTAGTTAGTTAGTTAGGTAGTTATATATATGTTAGTCAGAGTAGCACCTCCACATTTAATAAGTTCCACGGGTATACCATCACTTCCTGGAGATTTATTATTTTTTAGGTGTTTTATTGCATCCCGCACTTCTTGAATTGAGGGAGGCTCCAATGGTGTATTGTTGCTTGCTCCTGGGGGTAGTTGATTTGGATCTTCTACTTCGATAGTAAGTAGTTCTTTATAGTGTTCCACCCACCGTTTCAATATTTCTTCTTTTGTATTGAGTATATGCCCCTCCTTATCCTTACATAGTCCATCCTTGGTTTAAATTCTTTTCTTGCATTATTCAGATTTTTATAGAGTTTTCTTGTTTGATTTTCCTTTTTTAATGCCTCAAGTTCTTCCAATATTCTATTTTCATAAGTTCACTTCTCCGATGGATGTACTTCTCTTCTCTTCTGAGATCTTTATATTTTTGTTCTTTTTCTCGGGTTCTTCTTTGCTGCATTAGTTTATATGCATTGTTCTTTCTTCTTGTAATGTCCTCGCACTCAGCATCGAACCACTCATTTCGTGGTGGTGCTCTTTGCGGCCCTAGAATGTTATTTGCTGCGCCTTTAATATAATTTTTACAAATTTCCCATTGTTCACTAATTCTTAGATTCTCTTTAGTTATGTATTTAGTTTCGATATAGTTTTGAAACCTTTCTACCGTTTGTGGATTTTTGAGGAGTTAAATATTAAGGCGTCTTGTTTTGGTACTTCTCTATACTTCTTCGCATTTGAGATTCTAGCCCGAATTCATGTGCCAACTAGAAAATGCTCTGAATCAATATTGGCACCTTGATAGGTGCGGACATCCATAAGGTTGGAGAAATGTCGAGCATCCATGATCACATAATCAATTTGGTTTTTCGTTAATCCATCACGTGAGGTCCAAGTCCCCCTATTGAATTTTTTGTCTAGAAAACATGTGCTTCCTACGATCATGTTCTTTGAGGCTGCGAACGTGACTGCTCGGTGTCCATTCGAATTAGTATTATTATGGAGACTATATTTACCAATGTACGGTAGATATATTTCTTCCCTTCCGATTTTTGCGTTCAGATCACTGATTACTATTTTAATGTCATTTCTGGGACAATTGTCATATTTTCTTTCTAATTCATCATAGAAATTGTCTTTTTCTTCGTCTTCCTTGTCCTCTGTTGTGGCATGTACATTAATAAGGCTAATATTAAAAAATTTTGCCCCTGATCCTTAAGCAGCTCATTCGCGGATTTATCGGCTTAAAATCTATAACATGTGCTGGACATTATTATTGACAATATTAATATTAATATTACATATAAAAATAAAAAATATTTATATAAAAATAGAAAACAAAAAATACAAACAAAAAATGCAAATAATAAAAAGTTAAAAAACTACAAAAATATTAAAAATTCAAAATTTTGAAAAATAAAAAATACACACATACATAAGCAGTACTAACTTCAATACGAAAAATACGAAAAGTAAAAAAAGCAAAAAACGAAATATTAATAATTCAATAAACGAAAATTACAAAATAGACAAAAATACAAATTAAATTTATTCAATATTGATGTGTTTAAAAAATATTTTTACATTTTTTTAAGAAAATCACTCTACTGGCGGAAAAAGAAGAAAATTTTTCTGATTCTGCACAACCAAGTAACGGAGGCAATAAAACTGTAAATTTAGAAAATACTGATGCTGAATTTGTCATCAATAAAACAATAAAAATGGAGGTAAATAAAGAAGAATAAATTTAGAATGTTTGCGTGAGCCTGTAAAAAATATAAGTTAATAATTATTTATGAATTAAAAAAACTTACCATTCTTTTTTTTATAGAGAATCGCTTCAACAGAGAAGAATAAAAGAGACAGCGGCAATGGAAATTCAGATATGAACGCTGAATTTGTTATAAATAAAAGAAAAAAAGTAGATTTGAATGAAGAAGAAGAAAACACTGAAAAAGCAAAACAAAATAGAAAAAAAGAATTACGTAGATTGCGTAATATAAAATATCGAGCAAGAATGAAAAAGGCAAAAAAAGCTGGATTAAACCAGTTATCTACAGATCATAAAAAAGAATTATCAAAGAAAAGTTCGCAGAAATATAGGGATAAAAAAAGACTAGAAATGCTCAATACTGACAACAATGCAGTAATTTCAGAACAATCAACAGTGAACAATCTATTACATGTTCAAAATCAGCCCAAGATACACGAGCCTCAAATAGTAGGGCCATCCTGGTTAGATGTTCCAACATCAGATTTTTATTCAAATTCTCTAAGTTTAGTTAATTTGCAAAAACATCAACAATCAAAAAACATTAATTTTGATAATTCAGATAATAACATTGCTCAAGCGGATCCACCAAACATTATTTCACACATTCCTGAAGAAACTAGAACTAATCAATCGCAACATTCTAATTCTCGTCCGCGGTACTCCTTGTATAATACACATTGCAGTGCACATTTAGAGTTGAAGAAGAAATTCTTTGACAATACCTTTGGTCATGCTTGTGATATCTGTGATAGATTGTGGTTCAAAAATGACTTGAAAATATTAATAAACGACGATGCAACTAGTAATATTGACTTTATTAGAACACTTCTAACAAATAGTGATATATCAGTGATTAGTGTATGCAAATCTTGTTTTCTACCAATCGGGAAAAAAAGAGTTCCTATTTTATCAGTGTATAATGGGTTCAAATATCCAGATTTTCCAGAAAGCTTGGTAAATGTGCCATTAGATTTAGTTTCAGAAAGACTTATTTCGCCAAGAATACCATTCATGCAAATTAGGAGACTCAGACATATTAATAGACAAAATAGAATATATGGACAAGTCATCAATGTACCTATAGAAGTTAACACAATGGTGAATCAGTTACCAAGAAATGTGGATGAAGATCACAGCACTACTGTTAACATTGAAAAAAACCAAATTCATAAATCAAGCTCAATTTATGGAATAGTTAATAAAAGAATATTGAAACATTGGTTATCATATTTGATAAAAACACCTCTTTATGAAGCTTACAATATAACTATTGATGAAAATTTTTTTGAAGGTATTGATTCTATAAATGAAGAAGAAAATGAAATTTTTGAAAATATTCCTGTTGAAGAAAGTTTAGTAGCACAACAGCAAACATTACTGTGGAATGAAGATATGTACTTACTAAATAATGTTGACATCAGTCTTGTATTCGATCAACATATGGAAGAATTATCTTTTCCTGCAGTTTACTTAGGACAATTTCGTAAATTTTGCGATGGTATTGTAGTTACACCGTTTATCATGGCAACTAGCGAACTTAGACGATCTGATAGACGAGGAGTTAGTCCCCATCACCTACTATATATGGCAATGAAAATAATGAGGATCAGAGTTCGTGATGCGCTTAAAGATGCTGGTATTACAAAAGAGCAATTACAGAACCCGAATTATCTACAAGGTTGCGTTGAAAGTCAGTTAGCTTTCTTACGTTCAATTCCAAATTCAACATGGTATTGGCAAGAAAGAGAGAAAGATCTGTTCGCAATGATTAGGCAACTTGGTAGGCCAACAGCACTTTTTACTATAAGCGCTAACGAAATAGGATGGCCAAATTTATTACAAGTTCTGTACAAATTGAAAAATAAGGAAGATATTACTATTGAAAATGCAGAGAAGTTACATTATATCACTAAAAGCACTCTAATTAATGATGATTCAGTTACCTGTGCAATTTACTTTAATAAATTGGTTAACGTAATCTTGAATATTTTGCAGTCGAAAAGATTTAGTCCTTTTAAAAAATTCAGAGTACTTCATTACTTCAAAAAGATTGAATTCAAGCATAAAGGAAGCCAACACGCACATATTTTAGCTTGGCTTGATAGTGCTCCTCAAAATGCACTCGAACGAGACTATAACGATGCAATCGAACTAATAGATTCACTAATATCAGTAAAAAGTTCGGAAGCTTCGGGTAACATAAGATTCCAAACTCACAAACATACTTTCACGTGTTCTTCAAACAAATCTACGAAATGTAGATTTGATGCCCCTTTCATGCCTTCAAAAAAGACCGTTATTTTAACACCAATGAAAGATAGTGAAAATGGATTTGAAAATTATAAAAAAAAATATTTTGAAATAAAAAAAAACTTGGAGGATACAGATTATAAAGATATGAATGATTTTTACCAAAAAAATGGTATCTTGACAGATGAAGAATATAACAAAGTTATAAGTGCAGGTATTAATCAACCAAGAGTTTTTTTAAAGCGTGAACCAAGTGAAAAGTGGCATAATCCATTCAATCCTTTCTTATTAAATGTAGTTAAATCAACTACAGACTTCCAGTTTATTACTGGGGAGTATTCATGTGCCGCTTATATCGTTGAATATGTCAATAAAACAAATAGAGGTGCAAGCGATTTACAAAGAAAAATTATTGAATCTATGAACCAACATCCAGAGTTTAATATAGCTGAAATAACTAAAAATATTGGTGTTAAAGGTGAAATGACAAGCCAAGAAGCTGCATGGTACTTACTACGTGAACCAATGTCCAAAACTTCGACTGACATTGTATACATTCCTACGGTACGGCCCATTGAACGACAAAGAATCAAATTGACAATGAAAGAATTGAGTGATTTGGAAGATGATTGCACAGATAATTGGAAGGAAAATTGGTTTGACAAGTATGAAAAAAGACCAAATTATTTGGAAGATATTACTTTGGCACAATTTGTATCAAATTATTATAAGACCCTCAAAGGAGAATATGTTCAGCGAAGTGAGCCAAGAATTATACGTTATAGAAATTATGACATGGCAAATGATTTCGATGACTATCGAAGAGAAATGGTTACATTGCACATTCCCTTTCGTCACGAAGAGTCGGAAGTTTTATCAGAAATGAAATTTATTACGATTTATAAAGATAATGAAGACAGAATACTACAAAATCGAAAAGAATTTGAGTCAAACATAGATATAGCGAAAATCATTCAGATTTGCCGTGAATTATGCTGAGAAGAAACCCCATGTGATGAGAATGAAATGTAAAATATTGCTGCATGATTTTTTTACGGTCTCCAAAAGGAAATATGGCGCTTTATAAGAGGTCAAGGAATGGAGGTAAAGAAACTAATAGAACCAAAACACATAGAAAGGGATGCGTGGATTGACTACCTGAAAAAGGTCTATGCAGAGGAAGAACAAACCATGATAGACCCGGAAACACCAGAAATTATCACAAATGAACAACTTTTGTGAAAATGAACAGGAAGTTCGGAAAATAGGTGAAAACCTGAAGAACAGAATAGCAGCAGGTAAAGACGGGATACCGCCAATTTAAAAATTGGCGGGTTTCATGACCCAAATGACAATTGAGGTATTGTGGTACAATATATCGCTAAAGAATTTAATACCAAAGTATTGTGGTATTGGTACAAAGCGGGTGATATCCATATTTTACGATTAAGCTGGCTATTACAGTTTTATTAGAAATTAAAAATTAAAATTAAAAATTATTTTTCTTTTGACATTATGTAGGTAAAATTAAATTCTGACTTGTGTTTATTTTATTTTGATATGCTAGAAATGCTTTTTTTTATTAGATATATATATATATATATATATATATATATATATATATATATATATATATATATATATATATATATATATATACAGTCCTCTCTCTCTATAACGATGGAATTTTCATCGTTATAAGGAGAGATCGTTATACAGAGAGAGACAAAATTCGGTACCGTAATATTAATAATATTGTAACTAAATAACCTATTTTAATTTAAAAAATTTATCAAAACGAATATAAATGAATTCACACTGTATTGTACACCACATAGATTTATTAAAGAATAATATAAGCAATACATTATAAAATAAATGACTGTACAAATAAAACATGTTTACTGTACAATAACAAAATATGCTACTGTAAAATATATTTACCTGCATTACCAAAAAAGTCTGTCACCTTGGTCTGTTTACTTTTCCCTTTCCACAGAACTGACCTGACCATGTGCTGAGGACACATAGAATTTTCCACAGCACTCATATCGTCTTCCTGGTGGATGAAAAATCGATGCAGTACTGTTGCCGCATTCAATGTCTGCTTTTTTATCGTGTCCGGACATTCATTTAATTCATAAAATTTCGGACCAGTATCGGTCTACGTCGGTTCCATCTTTGTTGGCGAGCCATAAATCTTCGAGGGTACATCGATGAGGACAGTTTCTGCATGTAAGAAGATGTTCCATATTCTGTGTTTCTCCACAGTCATGGGTCACATCATCTTGGTCTACTTTTCCCCATTTTGCCATGTTTGATTTTACTAGAGCGACCCCCGTTCTTATCCGATTTATAGTTTTCCAAGTTTTAAAGTCTAGGGACTGGCCGGTCCATTGAACCTGGGGAAGAGAAATATACTCAGGCGATTCACCCTGCACTGTTCCAAGGAATCGTTTCCTGGATTTTGGTCGCTTTCGTGGTGTTTGAGCCTTGTATGGCTTGCACGCCGCTCGGCTGCGATCTGTTTAATTTTCTCTACGTGCTCTGCCACGCCTCTGCGTGTTGAGGGTTCTGCAAACGGAGGGCTCGGAGCTGGTTCCGGTTCTGCTTTCACTTCCGGGTCACTGTTTTCTTCTTCTTCTACAATAATTTCTTGTAGAATGTCCTCGTCAGAAATTCCAGATGTTGTAGCTACATTTTCATCAACTTCTTCAAAATCTGTTTAGCTCTTCCTGTCCGTAGGTGGTAGTAAATTGCCTGGCCCAAACATCTAATGGCAGGTCATCTTCATCATCAGTCAATCCTTGTATCTTCCAGCCAACCTGCGTGCTTGGAGGAATGTTTTATTGTATTGGTCGTCACCTCGTGACAAGATTTAAGTACTAATCATTAGGATGGCGTCAAGAATGTTTTGTTTAAGCTCCGTCACCACTCCGAGACGGTCGGCGTCCAACTAAAAACCTCTCCTCTGTCACACCAGACATCAGGATGGAAGGGCCAGTTAAGGCATACATCTCTCCCGATGCCCTGCTATCACCCGATTCCCATTCTTTCTCCGACACATTCATCCAGGAAACCACACCCACACGAACCACCAAGGACTTTCAACCCCCTGCCTTAGCGAGGCTGCCATCTCTCTCGCGTCGTCTGTCTTTTACTCACTCTTAGTTCGGCCTGCGACAGTCCGAACCCTACCAAGGTGCTACTCGCTTGTCTTAAAATTCTTTTGCGAGTTCCCTCTCTTCTCGTTCTTTTGAGGAGAGCAGCTCCCTGACAAATTTGTGGATCCGTGTCCACCACCACTTATCCCTCATCATTTTCTCCACCATTTCTCTCACGGAATCAAACATTCTGCAGTTACACTCTCTTACAAACTTCTCTCTTTCATCCGCCCAACGCTCACACTCCAACATCGTGTGTGTCACAGTGTCCGAGAAACCACAGTAAAGGCACTGATCGGACTGAGCCCTCCTAAACCTGAAAAGGTAGCTGCGGAAGCAGCCATGACCTGTGAGCATTTGCGTTAGATAGTAATCCAGCTGCCTATGCCCACAGTCCACCCAGCTTCGAAGGTTCGGGATTAGTGACTTCGTCCACTCCGCCACATCACGTGTTGCCTCCCACTCTTGTTGCCACTGTCCGATTGAAACTAATCTTTCGGCCAGTCTTATCTCATTCATTTCTCGCTCTCCAATGTTCCGCCCCCTACGACTGTAAATCCTTGCCCTTTCACCTGCCAGCACATGTAAAGGAACACAGCCGGTGATAACACACAGAGCGGCAGCTGACACAGTCCTGTAGGCACATGCTATCCGCAGCAGACTAGTTCTGTCCACGCGTACCATGAGCCTCTTGTAAGTTGGTATTTCTACCTCGTCACTCCAGACTGGGGCCGCGTAGAGGACGACAGACTGCACAACACCGTGGAGCACCCTTCTCCTTTCGGATTTGGGACCACCGATATTAGGCATTATCCTCCCCAGCGCAGCCATTCTCTGAAAAGCTCTGCGGGTCACCCCCCTCAAATGTTCCCCCCAGCTCCCACTCTGGTGGAGAGTAATTCCCAAATACTTAACGTACTTTTTGGGAGTCACTTTCGCTCCCGCGCACTCAAATTCCACCCTATCTATCTTTCTGTAGCCTCTGAGTACTACAGCCTCCGTCTTATCCTCCGCGAGAGAAAGATCATGCTCACTCATCCAATCCTCAACTAGAACACACGCACACGTAATCCGAAGCAAGAGTTCCTCCCTGTCCCGTGCAGCCACCAGCATAGCAAGGTCGTCCGCGAATGCAAAGGGGGTCACACCCTCCCCATATTCGTAATTTAAGACCCCGTCATATGCCAGGTTCCACAGCGTCGGACCCAGGACGGAGCCCTGCGGGACCCCAGCCGTTACATCCACCATCACACCATTTTCCACCACAATCTTCCTCTCGGAAAGATAATCAGCGACCACATTCCTCAGATACCCAGGACAGTTCCTTGCTTCCAAAGAGCTCATTACGTGACCCCACTGCAATGTATTAAAAGCATTTCGGACGTCAAAGAGAACTAGGATGACCCATCGATGATCACCCCAAATTCCCCGTGCCGCCCGGAGCACATCGGTCACCGCATCCACTGTACTTTTACCCTTGCAGAAACCATATTGTCTCGGAGACAGGCCTCCAGACATCACAATCACCTCCTCGATACGTGAACGTAACATTCTCTCATATAGCTTTCCGATACAAGGAAGAAGCAAATAGGACGATATTTTCCTGCCTTGAATTTAGGCAGTAGCACGAGCCTCGAGATTTTCCAGGGATCCGGAAAAGACTGCGCGACAAGAAGAGCATTCATGTGTTTCAGCAGCCACGTGGGCTCCAAACGGCCAAGATGTAGAACCGCCTCAGGTGGGACACCATCCAGACCGGGAGCCCTACCAGACTTAAGGGAACTCACTGCCACAGCCAGTTCATCCAAAGTAAAGGGAATCCCACACTCAGCCTTGACGTCTCTCCGCACACCATGCCACGGTCCTTGTGGAAACAGTTCGGTGACTATGTCCAGCTTCTGGTCCAATGGCATGCCATACGGAGCACAGGCGTCGAAATGCTTCATTGCAATCTTATACCCTTCACCCCAGATGTCCTCGTCCAGCTTGTCACACAGTAGCCTCCAGTGTCTCGTCTTCTCGGCTCGGATCCTCCTATTCAACTCCTTCTCGCCCTTGTCAAGTGCCGGCGAAGGGCCACGCACTCTCTTCTCAGTTGCTCTATCTCGACACACCACCAGTAAGACATTCTACCCGTACGCTCAGTCCCAATTTTACTCATATGCATCGCGGCTTTCACGCAAAGGCTACTGGAAACGGCAGAGATAAGAGTACTGAGAAGAATTATAGGAAATAAGCTGAGAGATCGAAAGAGAAGTGAAGACATTAGAAGAAAATGTAACGTACAGTGTATAAATGAATAGACACAAAATAGAAAAAAAAAATAAACACATAAGCAGAATGGAGCAGAAAAAATAGCAAGAGATAAGTCACCAATGGACAAAAGTATCGGACGACCGCGCAAAAGATGGAGTGACAATCTTCCATAGAGGTACTAATCCGCCAATGAACAAGCAGAATTGCTTATAAAGAGGAAGAAGAAGAAGAATTTTGCAAGTGGCGCAAATGTCAATTCGGTTTTGAAACACAGAATACAAATGAATCAAGCAATGAATCGCAAAATAATTCTTTCCATTTTTTGCGCAAAAATTCGTTGGTTGTGGTGGCACAGCGTGAATTTCGTCGCGAATTTCCTGGCTGTCCGACACGACCTGGACGAACAATGCGGCGCGGCGTCTGGCCACTCGGCTTGAAGAGACAACAAACATAGAGATTATCACTTACATCCAGTATCCTGTCAGTAACAATGTCGGTCTTAATTCTTTGATGGCGCTCAAAACGTTTGATGTGTGAGAGTTTGACCGAGTGACTCAAGCATATACTAATGTTTAGTGG